CAGAACATCTGCAGTACATTGATGACATCATTGTTTGGGGAAAGACGGCTGAAGAGGTCTTTGAGAAAGGAGAGAAAATCATCCAGGTTCTCCTGAAAGCTGGTTTTGCCATCAAGAAGAGCAAAGTTAAGAGACCAGCTCGTGAGATTCAGTTCCTGGGGGTAAAGTGGCAAGATAGACGGCGTCAGATTCCCACTGAGGTCGTCAATAAGATCACTGCAATGTCTCCACCCACCAGCAAGAAGGAAACGCAAGCTTTCCTAAGTGCCATAGGTTTTTGGAAGATGCACATTCCTGAGTACAGCCAGATTGTGAGCCTTCTTTACCTGGTCACCCGCAAAAAGAACACTTTCCAGTGGGGCCCTGAACAACAACAAGCCTTTACTCAGATCAAACAGGAGATCGCCCATGCAGTAGCCCTTGGCCCAGTCAGGACAGGACCAGATGTGAAGAACGTGCTCTACTCTGCAGCCAGGAGCCATGGTCTGTCCTGGAGCCTTTGGCAGAAAGTGCCTGGAGAGACTCGAGGCCGACCACTGAGATTCTGGAACCAAAGCTACAGAGGGTCCGAAGCCAACTACACTCCCACGGAGAAGGAAATCTTAGCCACCTATGAAGGAGTTCAAGCCACCTCAGAAGTGATTGGCACAGAAGCACAACTCCTCCTGGCACCCCGACTGCCAGTGCTGGGGTGGATGTTTAAAGGAAAGGTTCCTGCTACCCACCACGCCACTGACGCTACATGGAGCAAGTGGATCGCCCTCATCACGCAGCGCGCCCGTATTGGAAACCCAAATCGCCCTGGGATTTTGGAGATAATTACAAACTGGCCAGAAGGTGAAAACTTTGGTCTCACTGATGAAGAGGAGCAGGAACAAGTGACACGGGCTGAAGAAGCTCCACCGTACAACCAACTGCCAGCAGAAGAAACACGCTACGCTCTGTTCACTGATGGTTCCTGTCTCATCGTAGGGATGAACCGGAAGTGGAAAGCAGCCGTATGGAGCCCCACACGACAGGTCGCAGAGGCCACTGAAGGAGAAGGTGGATCAAGCCAACTTGCTGAACTCAAAGCTGTTCAACTGGCCCTGGACATTGCTGAAAGAGAGAAGTGGCCAAAGCTCTACCTCTACACAAATTCATGAATGGTAGCCAATGCTCTGTGGGGATGGCTGGAAAGGTGGAAAAGGGCCGACTGGCAACGCAGAAGAAAGCCAATCTGGGCTGCTGATGAGTGGAAAGACATCGCCACCAGGGTAGAGAAACTATCTGTGAGGGTCCGTCATGTAGATGCCCATGTCCCCAAGAGTAGGGCTAATAAAGAACACCGAAACAATGAGCAGGTGGATCAGGCTGCAAAGATAGAGGTGTCAAAGATAGACTTAGATTGGCAACACAAGGGAGAGTTGTTCCTAGCTCGATGGGCCCATGACGCCTCAGGCCATCAGGGTAGAAATGCCACCTGTAAGTGGGCACGAAACCGAGGGGTGGACCTAAACATGGACAGTATTTCCCAAGTTATCCGTGACTGTGAGACGTGTGCCACGATCAAGCAGGCCAAGCAGTTGAAGCCGCTATGGTACTGTGGGCGTTGGTCCAAATATAGATATGGGGAAGCCTGGCAGATTGACTACATCACACTGCCCCAAACCCGCCAAGGCAAGCGCTACGTGCTCACGATGGTAGAAGCCACCACTGGATGGTTGGAAACCTACCCTGTGCCTCATGCCACTGCCCGGAACACCATCCTGGGACTTGAAAAGCAGGTCCTTTGGAGGCATGGTACCCCTGAGAGGATTGAGTCAGACAATGAGACTCATTTCAAGAATAACCTTATAAATAGCTGGGCTAGAAAACATGGCATTGAGTGGGTGTACCATATCCCTTACCATGCACCTGCTGCGGGAAAAGTGGAGAGGTACAATGGACTGTTAAAGACTACCTTGAAAGCGTTGGGTGGAGGATCTTTCAAAAATTGAGAGCAGCATCTAGCAAAGGCCACCTGGATAGTTAACACCCGAGGTTCCACCAATCGAGCAAGCCCAGCCCAATCCAAGCCCCTGCATAAAGTAGACGGAGACAAGGTCCCAGCAGTACATCTCAGAGGTTTGTTAAGAAAGACAGTTTGGATCAATTCTACTTCGAGTACAGACAAACCCATTAGTGGAGTTGTTTTTGCTCAAGGACCAGGTTGTACATGGTGGATAATGCGGAAAGATGGAACAACACAATGTGTACCTCAGGGAGATCTGATAGTTGGGTGAAGATTATGAATAAATGCCCTTGTCTGTATATAATGTATGTGTTGTAGGGTTAATATATATATATATATTAATTTTGATAATAAGTTGACGATATGGGGATAAGGGGTGGAATGTCCTGGGGTGACTTTATGATACTGGTATCCCCAATCCCCAATGTTATATATTAAGTTCTGCACCTTTAAGACTGGCTTTGAGAGCAAGAGAGGGGGAAGAAGAAG